GGTATATTTGAATTTCTCTTCAAAGTTCAAAAAGACGATTTAAAGCTGCCTCTGGATAACCACCTTACTTTGGAATGTAACAAAAGCGTTTCATGTTCCCTGCCCATCTCTTGGTATAAAATCATAAATATTCTTGAAGCTCAGCTTTTAATAAAATTAACAATTTTCACAGCTTGGTTTAAAACGATTTTCAGATTTTTTGGGATTGTTTTGACTACTAAAGCTTCACGATGAATAAAACAGTGAGCAAGATTAGTTTCGAGTGCGACTTTCTTTATCTGTAAAATGACACTGGAACGTTTACCTGTTAAAGCCCGAGCTCCATAACTGCATACCGCAATTCCAAGGAATATCATTCTCAGACATGAAATTGTCAAGTACTTTGAAAATTTTATTTTCAATTGTTCTATCATGAAGAGATTCAGAAAATATTCTTTGGCAATTCGTTTATGTTCTTCGAAACTTTAGTAGTGTAATAATAATTGGTCATAGTTCCTTATATCAATACTTTAATCCAATTGAAATGCAAAATACTCACTGTGTTTTATTTTTTCAATAAATGTCTCTTTTATGGGATTTGCCATTTCATGAATTTGTTGGCTTACTGTATCAATTGATAACGGAATTAAGTTCAATAGCCACTTTTTGTTGAATAATGTTAAAATGACATCTTTAGCTGCTGGTAATAAGGATTTCTCCAATAGTGTGTGCCTCCAAGACTGGAGTCTTGGTAATTCGTAGGCTTACTAGGTAACTAACTAGCTTCCAAAGTTTCAAAGCTTTTTCACATGAAGTAATAAAAACTGTTATTACTTGTTTACCATTTTTGAACTCTGATAATTTCTTCTTAAAATATTCTTCAGATTTATCCTTTAAATTGGCATGCTTAGATTCAAGATGTCTTTTAAGAAACGATTCATACTTTGATTGGATAACAGTTCACCGCAAACAACACATTGAGGTTGTGGTCCATTTCATTTCTATTCTAGGTAAACCCAAATGATAATGCTTATATAAAATTATATTTTCTATAAACAATTTTTCTTTTCTTTTCAATATTCTTAGTGCTAGTAGATTGTACTGGATCCATTGCCTGTGAATCATTGCATTTTCGCTTAGTCAATCCTAGGCATTTTGAAGATCTAGGGTTTTTATCATTTTTTCACAAATATTTAAATGCACAATATATATAGAGAGAGAGTTCTTCAAAAACAAATAACGATATTTTCAAACTACATAAAAAAGTAAAAAATTCTAAGCAACAAGAAAACCAGAGACAGCAAATTGACATAAAATGATTCAAAATGAAAACAGAGCAATATGAGCCCAGAAATTGTACCAACATAAAAAGTAGACATGCTAATAACTAACTCAAGGGGAATAAATCAGATACTATTAACTTTTTATAGGAACTTATTTTTATTTCCTATTAAATACAAGATCCATTTCTACTACTCCTTTTAAAAATATCATTTATGACAAATTTTGCTATGTTTATGGCTAAAAGAATACTTTTGAAAATAAAAATGGATTATTTTGCTAAAGTCTGTGAGCAGCTATTGATCTTGGTAAGTGGGATGTTGGGCTATTTAATTTTTGAATTGAATATTTAAAAGTAATTTTTTCTTTTGCGTACCACTTGTTTTCCTCTTGCGTACCACTGGTTGAAAATCGATGATATAGCAGATAGAGTTCTTAACCTTTTTTATCCCATGTAGCTAAATTACAATTACAAATACTTTACGAGTGAACCATGCACAAAAATAAATTTCTGTTTTTTTCCTTTAGTTTTCTATTTCCTTTTTCTTTCCTTCAACTTATCTCTCTGCAGGTTTATTTTTTAAGATTATGTTACAGAATTTCTGCAGAAAAATAAAAGGAAAAAAAAATTAAGTAAGAAAATATACTGTGTTGAGTACTTATAGGTGTATAACTATGTAAGTACTTTTAAAGTTATAAGCCCAGACCAAAAAATAATATATTTTTTAATCTAAAAACAATTAATAAAAAGCATTTGCTTAGTAGTTTTCAAAAAAGGAGGATAATAAAGACACTGGCAGACAGACAACTGAAATGCTACATTTGATCAACAGGATAGTGTTAAGATTAAGAGCTGAAGCTGATACATTAGTTCCATGTTTTTCAGAATCTAATGTTTGAAGTCTAACATTGCTTTCAAATTTCAGTTACGATTAAGAAAAGATTAAAAAAAACATACAAAATAACTTTATGTACTGTAAAATATACCAATATGACTATTTAAATTACAACATAGCTATAACATATAATCTGCTAGATTGCTTTATGGTATTAGAAGAAACTCTTGTACTTAGTCTAGTAACTCAGACATACAAAGTTATAAATATTTTAGTTAAATAAGAAAGAGAAAAGTTTTTAATAATTAAAATTTTAAGATGATAGATATCTCTCCAAAATATGTAAAAACCGAGGCTTTGTGGAAATTCAATGGAAAAGTGCTTAATCATGACGAAGATTGGGAGAAAGTGCAGAATCGCCCACTGCTTGTCGCGTTTTTAAGAACTGCACATACACGGTATCATCCATGTACACGTCAACCTATTTTCACTTAAAAAAACATCCCAGAATTGCACAAAAATGGCACTGCGCGCACTCTTGACGTTATCCATGTACACTGCTAAAGTCCTAGCTAGTAACCTTTATCGCCTTACCAAAATGTAGCCAAACTACCTGTTACCATATTCCAAAGATTAGCCAAATTTTCAATAATAAATTCAAACTTACGAAATAATTAAGATATAACTTTTGAAGTGAAACGTTTGAGGTCTTTCTTTGAGTTTTAACAGTTTGATGAAATTTTTTGCACAATATTTATTTAAAAAAATGTGATCAGAACTTGGTTGATCTTTACAATATGGTAACTGGTAGTTTGGCGACATTTTGGAGGCGATAAAGGTTACTACCTGGGACTTTGGTAATAATGTGAGCAGTACTCAGTTCCGATTACGCATTATTTTGCGTGAGGGAAATGAGAGATCATGGGATATGTCATGTGATATTAATGGACGAATTATGGTTCTTTAATCGGAAAAGGGGGGAAATCAGGAAAAAATGTGGAAATTTTGTATTTAGCTTTATACTGTGTTGTGTGAAACAGCATTGTTTAATTTTTGGATCCCATGGCCCTAACTAAAGTTAATTCGAAATGGGTATTTAGGCATTGTGATAAAGAGAAGTTTGCTTTTTATTTAGCGAAGGAAGTATGGAGGAAAAATTCGCAGAAAAAATCTTTCAATAATTTTATTGAATGAATTAGAAAAGTGTATCCGCCACGTAATCAAGATTCTGAAGAAGATTAGGTAAGTTAGTATTTTTAATTATTTGAGGATATCATTTTTATGCATTGTTCTAAATGTAAGGTGGAAAGGAATTTGGTATTATTGGGAAAATTGTTATTAGCAATGATTTAGTTTAAAGTAATTAGGATTGTAAGGTAATTTTTATTAATTTAATGTATGTGCTCATTTATATTTTAAGTAGTGGTTTTAAATTTAATTATATTTTAATGAAATGATAGTTATTTTGTGAATTTTATGTTTGTAGGAATTTGGTATTTGTTTAAGTTGAAATAAACGTGCATGGAAATAATTTAAATATTTGATACTAAGTATTTGTAATGCTTGCGGTATGAATTCGTTGGTGACGTGTATAATGTAATAGATGATTTAGAGGTAAAAGTTTTTGGATATTTTATTTATTTTATATGTGGGAATGTTCATATTTGTAAAGGGTAAATACTTTTTCGCGATCAGGTAATTTCATATATGTTCTTTTTACCGGGTTTAAAGATTGAGAAAATTGTCATGTATTTTCGTGAAATTTTTCTAATTTATGAGAAAAAAGCAGTGTACATGGATATAGTGAAGAGTGTGCGCAATGCCATTTTTGTGCAATTCTGGGATGTTTTTTTAAGTAAAAATAAGTCGGCATGTACATGGTTTATGTGTATGTGTTATTTTGAAAAACGCGTAAGGAGTATGGTATTGTGCACTTTTTCCCAATTTTGCAGTGAATATTTGTCATGATTAAGCAGTTTTGTTTGATAAAATTTCTAGCATAAGTGTAATTCGGCTAGTAGATTGTTGGAAGAAGTGTTCAGTAGATAAGAAGAAAAGAAACATGTCTTTACTTCGTGAAGACAAAACGGCGGCGGGGAAAAAAAAATAGAGGGTTGCTGTAGGAGAGTTGGTTGCCAAATTTTCGCCAAGTTACCATAATGTAAAGATCAACCCAGAACTTATCTAGGAAACTCAGTTACTGGAAATTTCCAGAGTCATCCAAAACTCATAACTGATTAAATCAAATTCTCTTAGGCTTCTTTTTCGCTGCAGCAAAACCTAAGTTTTGGAAGCACAGAACTTGCAAAGCACTCAAAAAATTTACAATTACTAAAAATTTTCAGATACCATAAATGACAGATTTGTTTTAAGTGCACTTTAACAATATGGGAAAAAAGCCAAAACTTCTAAGCAAGTTCATTTTGGCAAAACATATGCATGCAATGAGTTACTAAAAAAATAGAAACTTAGAACCAGATTTAATGACTACTGCTCAGGATTTTGAATAATGATTACCCTAGTATCCTGTTCTTTCTCAAAATATGCTTCTACGTTAGTACCAACAATGGAGTCCAACGAGATTTTGTACTGAGGTTACAGAAACGAACTACAAAGGTTTGGCAAATATTTCTGATAACTTCATAAATAAAATTTAAACAACAAATGGTTATTCAACCCCCTTCCCCCAAAAAAAGATCGAAAGAAAGAAAAAAAAAAACAATTTTACCATACCAATATGTTTGTAAACAAATTACCTTAAAAACATCAAAAATTAATTCAGTATATACATATCGTAATCAAAGTCTATACTTAATTTATAAATTAAAAATTTCAGCTGTTTAATATTTGACTTATACATACATAAATAAAAAACTACTCATTTAAGAAAAGTTCATGTCTTACAAAAAATATTCTTTACTGGAATTCAATGTCATCCGGTAAATATGAAGCTTTGAATATCTCGGATTGAAACTCTCTAATCATAAGATGAAAAAAAAACTTTGTCTACTTTTTAATGGCCTGCTAAAATCTCCCTAAAACAGAGAAATTGCATCAAAAAAAGACAAGAAAATTTGGCAAGTAACACACACAAACATTAAGACGTGTCTAACATCCCGCCGTTTCTCACGCTCACTTCAAATTTCTGGATAATAACCCTGTTGCCAGATTTAATAGAACTTTATAGAAATTTTCCAAAGCACTCTTTGACCAACGGGCGGCTAAAGTCCGTGTGGAACTGAAGAAATTCAACCAAGGAGGTTAGAATACATGGAGATGGCGTCTCTGTGTCGCAATACGAGGAGAGTGAAGCCGGGGGAAGCAAATAAGCCACGCCTCGTGAGGGCAAGAAAACGCTTCCCTTACTATGTGAAGTGAGGTTAAACGTCAGCTTGTTTGAAGTTTTGAGTGTGTTTTCTGATTTCTTATGTGAAGACGTGAGAGGGTTATAAGGTACTGAATGGTTACATTGAAATAATGTCTACATTTCGGATTTCATTTCCATATAAAAGAATGTTTTTTTAACATGCATAAATAAGTAGAATAATTGAAATGTGCGTTTGAAAAGCCGTCAGAAAAGAGTTTGAGTATTTTCTCGGTGTGACGTGCGCGAAGAAACATCTATAATTCTCAGATTTTTCTTCAATTAATGGTTTGAGTATTATACTCGTAATTAACTGAGTTGTAAAAGCAAAACGGTAAGTAAACAAGGGAAGGGGGAGTGGTCAGCTCATCGTGGAAAAGAAAACGCGTTATTTTAAAGGTGTGATCATATTATATTACAAGTCATATTTTATGTATTTAATTTTATTTTCTGTTCAAGTAAATATTTAATAACAGGATTTAATTTGGGGTGAAATTTGTGGGAGTTTTAAAATAACAATGCAGAATTTAAATATTATTTTTTATCATTGTTCATGCATTTAATATTTTCAAAACGTAAGTAGTATTTCTAACATGGAAAATTGAGAATTATACCTGTATATATTTAGAATAATTAAAATATAATCAATTAATGGTTTAAGTATTTATTTATTTATTTTCACAATACCTTTATTGCTAGCATTCATTAATGACAGCATGTAATTACATAATGCATTTCTCATTTAACTCATTTTAATGGAATCAGTCCCTTTGTACATATATTTTCCCTCTCCCTCTGCATATCCTGATAATCATTAGAATTGATACAATTATCAGCACTTGCAGCCGTTTCCTTGGATATGTTTTAAACATGTACAGCAAATTTTTATCTAACTTTGAGCAAAGTATAATTAAATAAATGATAGTATATATGTTAAAAGAATATTTACCTGTGAAATGTAATACCGGATCCTGCTATTCTTCTATTTGTACAGCCGAAAGCGACGCAGGAATTTACCATTTTGGCAGGAATAAAAATTGCTTCTCGGAACAATATTGCAGCCGTCTACAAGATGATAGAAAATGTAGAAATAAAATGAAATGGCGGGAAAAAGTGAAGGAAAAAGCGCGCGAAGAATCCACGGTCTTTAATTTACGAAACTGGGTGTGGCTAGGTTCTGCCTCATTGGCTGAAGAGCTCGTCAATCTTTCTAAAGCCACGACTACTAAGGGCATGCTTTCCCCCACTTTTTGGCTTCACTTGGACTGCGCGCAGGGCATCTCCATGTATTCTAACCTCCTTGAATTCAACCAATCAGAATAAGCCACCGTCGGGGACTGCTTTAGGCGACCAATTTTTTTGTATTCATTTTCCGCTGATATTCCTCTTTTCTTATCTTTTGATGATTTTTTTTTTGTTTAAATGTGTAGTAACTATCTAAATTTTATTTTTATAATGTACAAGCCTTAATATCATTGTCTGGAATAACCAAAGAATATCAAATTTCTGAAACGTTCTGAGGAGAGGGCAAAAGCAAAGATCAAACTTTGCGATTCTCAATTAGGTTTAAGTATTGACCTAATAGAAAAGAGATAAATAATAAAAAAGGGAAGTACATTTTTATTTATGTACAGTATATATTTCACCCACCGCATTTAACAGTATTAAACAGTTTTATAATAATAAAAGAGTATATTTTTTATAAGAACAAATCAATTGTTTTCTCTTTATTTCTTATTGCAAAAGTTGGTTCGGTGTACGTCTAGTTGGGTAATGTCCAAGTATCTGGAACAGGTTAATGGCGGGAACAGCGGTACCACTTTAAGTCCATATGTGAATGGGCTAAATATGTTAATAAAAAGACCCTTTCAAAAGCTCTTTATAGCCCCGACTATACTTCGATATTTGGTGAAATTCCAGTTTTTATGAATATAATGATACTTTATGGTATTCTCTCGGAGCGAATCGAGAGCCTTATAATTAAGCACTTAAGAAGTTAGGAGTGCATGCAGCCCGCCAGTCGCGAGTTGGTCATGTTTGGTATAAATAGTTCCAATGGTGACTAAAATGCTCAAATCTCTAGTAAAAATTTATAGATCACTTGTACTTCAATTGCTAACTATAATACTTTAGCAGTTAGCGCAAACATGAAATAAAACATCCATGCTAATACCTATAGTAATTCTGTGAGTCGTAACTGCGCAAAAAATAAATAATATGGTGCTCCAATTATATCGCTAATTTGAAGAACAGCAAGGAAGCAGAAAGAGAATGAGGATTTTTTTTTAAATAATTATAGGGTTGCCCAACGCAAATTTGGATACTTTTTAAAAACTTTTAGCAATTGTATACAGTTACTAAAATAAAGCATATACATAATTAAGATGTGTATTGCGTACAACTACATAGATATCTGCCTACCAACAAAATAACAGTTAAAATGGATTTTATGGATGAACTGTTGAGGTTGCCATAGCCGTGCCTAGGTGTATTTTCGCCTGACGCAAAAAAGTAAATGCAATCAAATTAACTGTACCTGTATCAAATCTTACCATAACTCTTGTAATATACACGTAATGATTTATTATTTTTGAACGCAAATTTTAAAAACGACCTTTTTGATAAAAAGCAATTAAAACTAAAATAGTGCAAATACTTGTATTACAGTTAGCATAAAAAGTCTTACATTAATATTCAAGACTTCTTTTTTAAATTTATTTTTTCTCATTTTTGATAATAAAATCGTTTTTTACTTTTAACATATCACAGTATTTCTTAACTTTTAAGATAACAGTTCACATTGTATATAAGGACATATTAACATGCCGTTAATTTTACGCATTTTAAAACATACATTAGTAGTACATGTTTTTAACTTCTATTCTTTTCCAAGCAAGTGCCAATTCTTCTACATTGAAATACTACATTTCAAAAGTCTTTCAGACTTAAAACTTCTTTTTCTTGCCAGAATCTTTTAAATAAAATTTTATACAATAATTTTACAATTTTCTTAAGGTACCTTTCTCAAAGATTATCAATGCTTTTACAATATTCAAGTATTTACACATTCCTATTATACATTAATTTTAGTTTTACTCGCGAGTAAAAAAACATTGAAAAAACAACTCAATAAAAACATGAGGTAAAACTTCTTGAATTCTGCCACTTGCAGTAAGAACGAAAAATTAACTTAAGTTTCAAAGTAACATAAAGTTTTACTTATCTTTGTGATATTCAGACATCCTTTTTGCTGCCCAGTCCTGGAAAGGTGGCGAAGACTACCGGTCTGGTTTATCCCGTCCGTCTTGTGCGGGTTCGCCCTTCGGTTCCTTCCTTCTTTTTGGACTCTTTTCGTTGAGCTTTCTTTTTTTTCCAGTTCGGTCACCCTTGGAAGAACTTCTTTTTAACATCTGCTTGTACTCTCGGCCGTTTGATGGCAGCTGTGTCTTGGCGGAAACGGGACAACTCTGTCTCGTTGTTGCCTGGATCTCGTTGCTGGCTGTTGTTCAAACTTTTGTTGCTTCCTTTGCATCTGCAGCTGGTTTTCCTTCGTCAATTCGTCGACATTTGCTGCGTAGACTCCTATCCGATGGTTAGATCTTTTCGTTTTGGAGAGCCGTGTTATAGTTGCTGCCATTTCTCCTGGCTCTCTTTGCATTAGTCGAACTTCTCCCTTCTTCATTCTGGGGGTGGTCGTGCCCTCTCTTTTCTGGTCGGTGGAACGGCTTCTTTTTCTTGTTACCTTCAGTTTTCCAACGGGGAACTTTCTTTTCAATTGCTCCTGTCTACTCATGGCTTGCCCTTGTGATTGTCGTTGTTCCACCTCTGGAGATTGTGCCTGCCGTGCCGGATCCTGCAAAAGATCTTGAAATATTGGCATTTTATTACGATTATAAAATGGTTTTTATCTGGTCAACGTTTTGCGGTGCAGGTTTCACCATTCCTGGCTTTTAACACCACACTACAGCCTGAGTTACTTTTTCTATGACATATGGTCCTTCAAATCGTGGATAAAATTTGGCAGTTTTATCTTCTGGTGCTGAAGAAAGTGAATGCTTAATTTTTAACACTTCATCCCTACTTTATAAGTTACTCCCCGTCGTTTCATATCATAATACAAGCTTCTGTTTTCTCTGTGCTACTTCAGTGTTCTTTTTTTTGCTTCTTTAATTTAATTTTTTTTTATATCGCCCATTTTAAATTCTGGGGCTCTTTGTTGAACATAAAATAATTTATCTAACGGCGTTATAATCTTTCTGCCTAAAAATAACTCAGCAGGAGTTTTGCCCGTCGTATCATGTTTTGCGGTCCTAAGGGCGAAAGCCTAATAATTCATTGACATAGTTATCCCAGCTTTTATGAAAATTTTTAACATAACTACGGAATAATTTCCACTATATTTCTATTGACCCGTTCCGCTATATTTGATTGCGGCCGATACGGGACCATTTTTAAATGACGTATGCCCAGTTTTTGGCACATGTCTTCAAATATATTACTTACAAATTGAGGACCATTATCCGATATAACTTTTAGGGGCGCCCCGTATTTTAAAATATATTTATTTAAAATAGAATCAGTAACTAATTTCGAGGAGGCTCGTTTTAAGGGAACAATTTCGGTCCACTTACTAAAATGATCAACCATAACAAGGAGATACCGACTTTTATTTAACTGACTTTTTGGGAAAGGGCCCAATAAATCGATGCCAATTATTTCATTTGGAAATTCGGATTTAATACTATTTAGAAACCCGGCCGGGCGGAAATTAATATAATT